GGGGCCGGGGCGGGGCGGGCGGCGCAGGGCCGGGCCGGGCGTCTCCGTTCCGCTTTCCTTAACCCGGCACATCTCATCCGCTCCATCAACGACCCCGAGCACCCCCTCACCCTGGAGGAGCTGAACGTCGTGGAGCAGGTGCGGGTGAAGGTGAGAGCCGTCCCCGCTGCCCGTAGCATCTAAAAATGTCCGCGAAGACCACGGTGAGCGGCAAAGTGCCGCCTCGTAAAATGCCGCCTGCTGGTTTGGGGTAAAACCAGTGGGTTTCGAGCAAGGGGAGGTGTTTGGTTTCCAACAGGTGGATGACGCGGAAAGCACGGTGGCCGTGGCGTTCACCCCCACCATTCCCCACTGCAGCATGGCCACCCTCATCGGCCTCTCCATCAAGGTGAAACTCATCCGGTCGCTGCCCGAGAGGTTTAAGGTGAGTAATCGCGTCCCTCTGGAAAGAAAAAAGGGGGGGGTGTTTAAAAAAGGGGGGCGGGGGGAACCAACCGGAAAAAAATAAAAATCCATAACTAACTTAGAGTGAAAAATAACTGGAGCTTTTTGCATCCCGCGGGTGGGGGCAGAGCTGCGGGAGCGGAGCGGGCAGCGGGCGAACAACCGGCTGCGGAACCGGCGTGCGGTGCCCTCCGGTACCGGGGAGAGCCGCCCGCAGAGTGTTCTGGGGTCTTAGGCTCTGTTTGGCTATACGCAGTAACTGCTGTTGGCAAGAATGGCATTCCCCCCTCCTTTTGTTATTGTCTTATTCTTATCATTAAATAATTTGAACTTGAGCTTCCAATGTCGTGTTGACTTGTCCCCTTCTTTTTTTGTGGTGCTTTTTAAGCTGGATGTTCACATAACACCAGGAACGCATGCCTCTGAGCACGCAGGTAAGGGGTTTGGTGCTCTGTTGTCTGGTTGTCTTTATTATTTTTTTTAATCTTGCAAATTGGGAGATTCCCACACCTGCAGAACAGCTGTTTAGTATTTGGGACTTTACGTGCGTCAGCTTCTGGCGGATGTTACGGAACAGGAATGTGTAATAATGACACTTAGGTATGTTTTGTACCGTATTTCAAGCATCTCCTCGGGCAGCCTGTGCTCTCAACTACTCATTGACTTGCCGGGGTTGTGGAGGGCTCAGAAAACAGGGGGAAGCTGGGGGAAATTTCCTCTCGTTACACCTACACACACATCGCTCCCTGCTGCTCAGTCAGAACAGCTGCGCCTTTAACTTGTGATAACTCGCTTTGACTTGAGACTGCAGCTCTGCAGTGTACTTGCCATCTGCAGAACTGTTAGTCTACCTGAGTGCCATAGCAACAGTGTGATTGTGTGTCTCAACATAAAAGACTTTAAAGAAGGCATTGTATACCAATGTTTTGACCAGTTTCTTGTGGTGTTTTGTTTTTTGGGTTTTTTTTGCACAGTTAATAAACAGCTTGCTGATAAAGAACGCGTAGCAGCTGCTTTGGAAAACTCTCACTTACTGGAAGTGGTGAATCAGTGTTTGTCTGCTCGATCATAACTGCCTGATGAGGAAATCGTTAGTATTCTGCTATGTTAGACTAATTTTGTATATAAGTGGTGATGCTACTGTTACACTATGCATCTGTCTATGAGCAAAATAAAGTCACTTGGATTTTCTTAAGAAATGTTTCATTACTCTGACAAAAATAGTAGGTGGGAAATTAGATTACAGGCGGCTACAAAAATATAATGAAAATTTACTTTTAAATTTATTAGTCATTGCATAGGCAGGATTTTTCTTTAAAAAGTTTTGTTTCAACCTGTTTTTAACTGGTTTCTCACTATCCAAAATTAGTTGTAAACTGCATTTTAGAAGTGAATTTTGCACACTGGACTTTACAAGTACACCAAGCTAATTGGCAATTAAAATTTTTACATTCATACGACTGTTTTAAGACGGCTAATATAACTTTAGCTTCAGACATCAAGAAAATGTGTGTTCATGCATGCAAAGTTGTAACACATTTTAGCAATAAGTGTAAACACTTCTAAATCATCTGCCTAGTTTTTATTATATTAGATTGGATTAGCCAAATGCTGAGGGCTCTTTAAACCCATATAAAACATGACTTATTTTTAATTATTCATTACTCGTGGTAGGAAATACGGTATCTTTGCGGTAGGGTTTTTTTTTCCATGCATCTGCCATAATATAGGAGAGAGTCATTCATAGTTTTCAGTATGAACAGTCCAGCTACCCTCTGCTGAGAGACTTTCCTGGCAAAGTTTGACAGCTAAATGACAAGTTTTACTTTAAAAGTATTGAGATTTAATAGTAAGACCTAGCCTATGCTTCTGGTCCAGGAAACGTGGCGTTTATTAAAACTATTGTCTTTGGCAGAAATTGACAATAGAAAAAATCATTAAGATAGAATTCCAGAATTAATTTGCACTTTTGTTTCTAATCATGGACCACATGGAAAAGTAACAACCTGTTAAAGGAATCCTGTCAGGTGTTTTGCTGCCTGCACACATGCCATGTTACCTTCATCATCATCAGTTATCTAGAGAGTAACTGATACATTTTTTTAAAAAGTAGATTGCACTCACCTGTTTGGTGGTAGTGCTTTATATTTCAGTAGTATTTTCTCTTGGAAGGTTTTGGATGCTGTTTTAAAAATGGTGAAACTTACTTTACATAGTGTTCTGTGTAAACCACAGCCTAGTAGTCCAATCTGCGTTGAGCAGCTGAGGAGACTAAGGCAGTGGTGAGCCAAGTGTGACATCTGAAGTCACATAACAAAATAGGACAGAAAGAAATCCAAATCTTCCTGTTTCAGAAATGAGGCCCCCAGTTTGCACAAGGCTCCTACAGAAAGCCAACCGTGCAGCAGTGTTAATCTTAGTTGGCTTAGCATCCTTGGAATGATCAGCACTTGCATACATGTATAAATGAAACTGTAAATAAAGACAATATTTATGTAGTATTCATATTGGGAAAGGAGCAGAATGACCCAGCTGTTAATACTGTCTTTCCTCTCTGCCTCTGTTGCTGAATCACTGAACTGATTAGTTCTGACATTGCCAGCGTTTGCACCACAAATGAAACTTCAGCCATGGCAATGCACGCAGACAGCTTGGTTGGTTGGTTTGATTTTATTTTCTGGGTTTTTTTAAATAGAAAATGAATTTTGCCCTCCCAGATTTTGGGGAAGAAAGGAATGCAAATAGTGCCAGGGGGAAAACAGAAGGATGACTGAGCTGCCAACAGATTGCTTCAACCTGCACTCCAAATAGAGAAGGAATCAGTAAATTATGCTTTGTTGAATCCCTCTGCTTGGCTTTCACCACTACATAATAATACTGTTAAATAATTTACAGGGATGTTGGCACTTACGTCATGCGGCACATTGTACACAGTAACCCTGGGGGTGCGCTCTGCACCATTCACCTTTTCAGAGAAGCAACGGCATGGGGTTAGATGGCTTAAACTTACAGTATGTAGTTGGGGGATGACTTTTCAGTAAAGGGACTGTATTGTGGGATATCAAAGAAAAGGTCTGACTTCTGTTCCTTTAGGGGTAGAGAATTCTGTTACTGTAGATCTGGCATGTTTCTTTAAGTGATGTGGATGTTATATTTATGAGATGATAGAAACAACAGTAAGGGCAAACCATGGTTACTTTGCTGAAGATAACAGGTCCTCCTGTCCAGGCTGCCTCAGCTCAGATACTTGCTGAATGATAACGTACTGCCAGTTCTAGCAAAGATCTTCTCTTCCCTGGTTTTAATGATCGTTAGCTGGCTCCTGCTGTATGGAGATAAAGTGGGAGAAGAAAACATTAATTTGTTACAAATATTTCTTCTCGGGCTTTTATTTTTCCAAAATATTAGGCCTAAATTTAGCCTGTGGAATGCTTTGTAATAGGACACATTCCATCAGAAAGTATGATCCTTTAGAGCAGCTGTGTTGAATACACACGGCCTCATCCGAGTCCAGGAAAAATGCCAGCAGCAGGCATCTGTTTTGCATTCCTGGGTTTCGGGCAGAGCCTTCCAGGGGTGGCTGAGTGGCATTCACCGCTCCCAGACTGCACACACCGCAGCCGGAGCTCTGGAGGGCAACTGGCTGTGTTGTGCACTGGCGTAAGCTGCCGTGCGTTTGAGCCCGTGCACCAGCACGGTTCCTGCGCTGTGGGTTCCACCACATTGCATGTACCTGGGGCTGCCCACCCAGTCCTGCTCCCGGGGAGGACGCAGAGCTCTCCCCTGCTGCTCCCACCCTGTCGCTGCTGCCTCGGACCAGCAATCGGAAACTTTTGAGGACTCTTCACCCCCCAATTTTGTGAGCGGTGGGGAAGCAGCTCGGCAGCTTTGTATCCAACGACGCAACTGAACTGTCCGTGGAAGAACTTCACACTTCAATGGCGATATTTCTTGTGCTCCTCGGGTGGAGCGATGTGTACCACACACTGGGAACTGTTAGTTAAAAAAAAGCTATTTCAGTCTTCTGGCCGTGCTTGAGATTGATGTGTTTACATCAATAAAGTGCTTTGATAAAGATCTCCCTCTGGAGCTTTGATTTATAAACTGCATGTTTTACAATGTGGGGTGGTTTGGGGTTTTGGTTTTTTTTGGGTTTTTTTTTAGCTGTTAAAAACATTTCCCTGTAGCCTGTCACACAGACAAATACACCACTTTCCCTTCCTTTACAAAATGCACTGTGGTGTAAATACAGACAGAACAAGTGGCAGAGTCAACTTTTTTCCCTAAACAAAAGAAAAGATTACAGCAAAAACTTTCAAATGTTACTATGGAAAGGTAAGCATGAGCAAAGAGAATAACACCAGGGGAAGCTGAGGCTATTACTGGAGTGTTTAAGTCTGCTGGTATGTCTTGTAACCATTTGCCAGCAACATTTAATAGAAAGAATGTAAAAAATTTTTCAATTTACAAAATGCTAAAAGATGCTAAACATACAGGTAGCAGAGAGCCCGCATTTCGTTCAGTGCACTTCAGGAGTTGCAGAAAATGTGTTGTCACATTCTGTAACCTTCATACATTTCTTCTCTCACATCTTACCTTTTGCATCCTGTGGCAGGTGATCTCCATTCCATAACTTCCCTCTGGGGACCAAAGGAGCAGCCCTGTCCGCAGTGATAAAAACATCCTGGTGGTGTGGATGGTTCGAGCTTCATTCCACGCACTCACCAGGGTCGCTGGGTAACTTGCCAGTTCTCCCATCAGTTTTGTTGCTTTTCAGCGTCTTGTTGCGGCACATGCAAGCTTCAGATGCCGAGGCTGTCCTCGTTAGTACAGCAGTTAAGAGTCTCTGGTTCCTGCTGTTAGTTAGCTCAGCTCCCAGCACAGGGCTGGAGGGAGAGAACAGGGCAGAAGTTAATTTCCAGCAAGTCTGTGGAACAATTTTAACATGGGAACGGGAGGCAGCTGCTCCTTGGGAGCTTTAGGAAGGCACAGGAAGAGAAAGAGGAGGAGAAAGGGGCATACGCCACCTCGCCGTGCGGCCCCCAGCCTGGGTCTGTGGCAACGTGGGGAGCAGAGAGCTTCTACAGCGCCAAAGGCTTTGTCCTCCAAATGGCAGGGGAAATAAGTGAGCGCCCACTGCCTCATGCTGGACGTGTCCCAGCACTCTGCTTTCCTTGTTCCCTACAAGCTGGCTGCCTGAAGGGCAGACTCCCACGTGGGGCCTGTAGCCAAGGCACGGCCACAGCGTGGCCACCCCCCTGTCCTCGCTTGCTGGGCTGCCACGCAGCCCGTCCCGTCCCGTTAGTGCCCTCACGCTGCTGCAGGCAACAAGAAAACCTTTGCTGTCCCACAGCGGGTAAGTCACAAACAGCAGGAGGAGACAGGAGGATCGGGAGGACAAGTATGGATGTAGAACCGATGCTTTCAGCTGAGAACGGGAGACGCGCACCTTGCCAGTGGTTAAGTGTGGTGGCCAAAGGGTGTGTGCAGCGGCTGCGTCCGCATGGAGCCCAGCAGGAAGACCCAAGCGACTGGCAAGTCATCACGGCCAAACTCTCCCTGCTGGACTTGATCCGCCACTTTATTTTGATGTATCTTTGAGATGGTGGTTTATCATAGCACTTTTTTTTCCCTAATCTACCCAAATTAGTTTCATCTGGGTTCCCATCAGATGTGTCACACATGGCTTTGACCAAAATAACCTCAGTAGGTTGTCAGGAGCTTGCTTAACCCCAGGATGCCTGGCAGCTTGATTTCTCTACACTTTTGCTAATGGAAGAGCTGGCACACGCTCTGCCTAAGGACTATGAAGGTATCTAAGCAGCAATACTTTTTATTTCCCCTGCAAAGTGACAAATAAATCATCCATGAAGTCTGAAGTGCTTGCAGAGAAAAACAATAAATGCCAATAGATTCCAAATTTTTTACCTAACTGTTTTAACAGAACAAAAGTAGGTTTATTACTGAAAAAAAACCCAGAAAATAGTTTCATTAACACTGCAGCCAACTTTTTTTTAAACGCAATTACTTTTGAGGTTGACAGAAAATAATGATTAGGAATGAGTCACATAAATTGTTTCTCTTCAAATTGGTACTGACTTATTTTCACAACAATGCATTTTAGACATTGTTTTTTGAAACATAAGTCAATGATGTAAAGAGCCTGTCAAATTCTAATTTATTAATTATTCTTACTAATGACAAAATTGACTAGGAGCTGGAAACGGAGGCTGTTATTCAAACAATTCTTCCCCTTCAGACTCACCATTTTGGGTCTGATCCTGCAAACTTAGGGCTTTAATTGAGGTTATACTCCGGATTGTATTTTTAGCATAGAAGCGATGAAGTCTTGTCACATTTATTTTTGTTGGTAAGAAGAACATTGGGCCATTCCTAGTAAAACAACTGAGAGTTAATTTATTTTTTAAACAAAAAAGCAGTCATAACTGCTTATTTTAAATGTATATGCCATTTGCGCGTACGCATTTCAGTTCATCTGTAGTCTATGCATATAACTCCACGGGAGATATACTTATTCAATTACCAAGTCATATAATTAATAGTTTTCTGCATTTTATGGCTGAATAAATAAACACTATAGCTTAGATGTGAACTGTATACACATCAGTTAATGTATGGTAGTCGTTTAGTACTTGCAACATATTCTCCTAATCCTCAAAGCTGCAGGAACTTTGCTATGAATGTTATGAAGACGGTGTACCTTCCTCTGACATTTCACTGTGATCCACTCTTCGTCCTCTTAAAAGTCACTTGAGTCTTTCACAGACTACAAATAAATTGTGTCTTTTTTTGGCATGCATGCCTAGCTGGGCAATCCCTGCTTCGCCGCGAAGAATGACAAGATGAAAGAGACAACGTGGTATGCATCGTGCCTTGGTCCAGCTGGGAAGGATGGAAGCCATCCCACAGAACAGGCTCTGGAATACACAAATAACATAACATGCCAAAGAGAGGAAATACATACATGAGAGCTGCCAAGACTGTGATGTAATGTCGCTGATTAGCTACATTCGGGTCTGTACCAGAAAAAAAATCGTGCCACAGAAACTGCAATGCACAGAGCATGTGCTCCCACAAACACGGACAACTCGAGAGACACTGCCCTGCCCCAGGATGGACGCTGTCGGTGCGCCCGTGGGTCTGTCGCAGCCAGGCGGGCTGCCCCGCTGCACCCGTGCTGGGAGGCAGGATTCGAAAGATCTGCAGGTTAAATGGGTTTTTGCATCTACAGACAAACTGTCACATCAGCGAGCTGTAGAAAAGGTGATATAGGAGAAATGGGGAACAGGGGGCAGCTGAAATGGTGAGCTGCGATCGTGAATCCCGCCGTGGCTCAGGGGCCGACAACGGATGGTGCTACAACTTCGCACGTGTCAGCGGCTGCCCTGAGACCTGGCCAGCACAAACCCGGATGAGAAACAAGGGAAGATGTCTTCATCCAGCATCGCAGAGCTCCTGCTGCCTCTCCAGGCCGGACAGAGTCCCCCCAAAGCCCAGAAGCCGGCCTGGCACCTCCGGCATCCTCTGTTTGCCAGGTTCATCGCGCTCCTCCGGGGCACCGAGGCATGGATGCCTGTGCTCTACCTGCTGGTCTACGTCAGTTTTTTGGCTTGCGCTTAACGAAATCCCTTCACATGCATAAAATCAGCGTTCACCATCCACAACAGCTCTGTCCCTACATACAGTGATGGACTGTACATACGACGGGGTGCCTCCTCCACTCATAACATCTCCTTTTTCAAGCTGACACGGTTTCAGCCGAACCGAGATACAATTTATTTCAGCTGACTTGGTAATTATTGAAGCATTCCATTTTAATTAGGATGATGGCTAATGAAATCTGCCATAAAATCGTTCGTGGGTTTTAGTCTTTCTAAAAAACTTACAAATATGTAACAGATACAGAGAAATAAATAGGAACAGTATACAGCACATTGTTATTTCCTTTCACAGCGAATCAAGGGAAGCCGATATATCGATATGACTTGACGGTGACAGGACGACAGACTCATTTCTCCAATGAACTGTTTTCTTCTTATAAGGCAAAAAAAGCACTGCATCTGTATGAGATCATCTAGAAAAGTCCTCCTTCCTGAAAAATACTATATTCTTTTTTGTTGCCTAGCTACGTGCTGCTGTTACCTTAGAAGGCTGTAGATTCATCTGAATGATTCTGGCGGTGCTGATGTGCTGGAGCAGAGGAGTAATGCAAATATATAACCCTTTCTTTGGTAAAGATTATGAGGGAAAGGGGTGAGTGTGAAAAGAATGAGCCTTTGCAGAAAAGCAATTTGCTGTATCCATCATATTCTTTTTGTCATTAATTGTGGAATAAGGAGCATTTCCCCCCCCAGCCCTGGGTGCATGAGCAGGCAGTGAAATCACAGACTTGATGCTTTTGACGTGAGAGTCTGATGGCAAGGAAGCGTTTGCCTGGTTCATGTTAATTACTGCTATGAGTAAGTGTAGAGAAGGGAAAAGACTGTCAAGGCCTGATCCTGATCTCATTCCCAAAAATGTCAACAGGGAAAAACGCCATGAAAGACAACCAATTTGCTGAATTTCGTTACCACCAGAGAATGGGATAATCACTGGGTCCTTCTTTGAGTGTAAGTAGCTTTGATGATTTGGAAAATTAAGAAAGTCCACTCAAAATGCCCAAAGATTTACATTGTAATGTGCCTGTCAAAGGAAGCTCTGGCAGGGAATTCTGCCCTCCAGCATGAGACATGCAGAGATTGAGAGCTGAGCAATGATTCCCTGGCACTTCCCCAGCGCGATCGGCAGCTCAGCACGCCATTGCTTCCCCGATGATTTTAACGCATTCAAGTGGGGAATGAGAGATGTGGGGAAGCTGCTTGCGGGAGCAATAAGATGAAAGGGAAAATAAAGTTATTTCTTACCTGCTCCACTGTAACTGGTTTGGGTGTAGAATGTCCTTGATATGCGTCAAGAATTCGCAGTTTTATCTTTAGGACTGAGAGACTTTTAGCACTGGGGTTTTGATTCAGCTTTTTCTAATTGGGGCTGGCTTTGAAATTAACATCTGCGTTTGTTTTCATAAACTAGTATTTTTCAAGTCTACTGTCTATAACCCTCTTTATATATGGTACACACTTCATACCATTCTGTTACCTCAGTCTATGCTTTTGCTTGCTCTCTGTATTTTATCACGAGCCTAGATCCTCATCATATCATATTTTTGAGAGAGAAAGTGAAGCATATTGAGAGAGATTGAAGCATATTATGATTATGATAATTATTATTACATTCTTTCTTAAGAATAAAATCAGAAAGAACTTTGACAATTTAAAGTGAAAACAAGAAATTTTATTTGATTCTAGTATTCTAGTATTCTCCAGTAAGAATTTTGGAGGTCTTTATCATATCCTGTATAGCAGCAGAGGCAAAGCAGGAAATGAGATATTTGGAAGGAGCAGAGATGTCTGTTACTGCTGTGATGCAAACGTGGAATTTGCCAAACTCAGCACATACCAACTGGACAAATCCGAGTTTCTTCTGGAACAGATGATAACATCTCTCACATCCAAACTGCTCACACTCTACATGAACGATTCCATGACATCACTTACCACAGGAAAAGACACCACAAATTCTGCACTGGCTTATAAAGAAGTGTAAAACCTTTCTAATTCAAATTCATAAGTTTCCCCTGTGACTGCGAGTTTTTGTCCCTGCTTCAAGCTTTCATTTGTTGAAATGAAATGGAAATGGAGTTTTCCCACAAGGGAAACAAGATCAGACTTTATAACCGAAAGCAAAAGGGCAGCTATGTTCTAATTCTGGTCCCCACCAGCCCCCACCAGGAGCCTTACGTAAGGTGCAGCAATTCTAAGCATTATAAATATACATTTGGACACAAAACTAAAGTTCTCTGCTTAAGAAAAGATAGATTAAAAAAATCCTTGTCTTCTTTTTCTTATCTAGTACACAGAAGAGGGCAGCACAGTTAAAGTTTCACTTTATATTGCCACAAACACGATAAATTGTGTTTCCATCTTATGTCCTTCCCTCAGTGAGGGATCAAAGGGACTGCGTGCTGGAAGCGTGCTGGTCGTTTCCTCAGAGGACCGCAGGTCTGCTCCTACTTACGGGTTTTCACTGCAAGGAGACCTTTCCTTGTTCACCTGTCATATTCATGGAGACATCTACAATATGATGACTTTATGCAGGTTTTCAGACCCCACATCCCCAGATGGTCTTTCCCTTGGCATCTCTGTAATATGTTGAACCATAAACAACACTGTCACTGGTGCAATCTGCCGCACCCCCGGCACCCCCACTGGAATCTCTTGCTACAGAGAGGTTTTCCCTTACAACCATACTTTCCTTCTGCAAGTTTCTGCGCCTTTTTCTGCAGTGCTATGTGGAAGCTGCCAGCTAACAGACAACTTTTGAAGACATTGTCCTGCAGGCGTATGGAAGAAATGGGCTTTGTGGATTAGCGAGGGCAGCTTTAGGCTGTTTTCTGCCCAATTTCCTGCCCATTAAATCCTCAGTTCCTCAAAAGAGAGTTACAGTAGATCCATGAAAATGTTACTGAGTGTTCAGCTGAGAGTGTGAGCAGATGCTGGGAATTCTCGGGGTTAACGAAGAAAGCAGAAAGCATCACTGTCCACTGTGGAAGTCCATGGGCACATGCGGTTTGAACAATCCGTTTCTAATCTGTGTGCTTCTTGTCCCCTGATTTCTAAAACTATGTATTAGAAAACATACAGAGAAGGGCAAGTAGGGATCGTGTTTATACAAGGTGTGGCTGAATACTCCAGGCTCCTCAGCCAAGAGAGAGAATTACTGCAGAAAGCTATAAAATCAGTACATGTATGGAGAAGAGACAAGGGAAATCTTTTCTCTGCTTCACAATACAGTGAATGGGGGTGTTGCAGGATATCAAAAATCCACACAGGTTAAAAAGCAATTAGAAAAATACTCAGAAAAAACACATCAAGGGCCTCTGAACAAAAGGAGCACTTTTAGCCTGGTGGTTGTATGGGGGGAGCTTTAATTGCGTTTATCATGTCCTTATCATCCATTCTTCTTCAGATGTCTGCTACTGACAGCTGCTGGAAGCTGGCCGTAAGTTGAGTCTGACCCAGTACAGCTCCTTTAATTTGTTATTGTAAATAGATTCATTCCTCTTGCCATGAGCTACTGCTGGTAAACAATAAATCTTACATTCGCGATTTGCTTCCTTACCACTATGTACTTCTCAGACAGACAGACAGACAGACAGCCATTTACTTTGCTCACTCCTTAAACCAACTGTCTGTAAATTCAGAAACCTTTTCATGGTATCAGACTTCTAGATATTTCTTGTAAAGGGCCTCTGAAATCCACACTAAGGAGTATACATCCCACAAGAATTGTAACGGGATATTTAGCATTCCACTCATGGACGGATGATGTATGTCACGCACATTGGTCATGACAGGTTTAATACTGAAAAAGAGGAATCAGGGGTGATAAAAGAAAATAATTATGGAAATATCTTAGGTCATGTTCTGATTTTACTCCAAACTTGAAATGCAATAGGAGCAAACAGCTGATCCCATACAGTACGTGCTAATGTGTCTGTTCCGCAGCGACTGAGGAAACTGAGGGGGTATCCAAACTCCGACTCTCGTGGCAGGGTATAGCACGAGTGATTACCATGTCAGTAAGAAGTAAACTTGAACCTGAAAAACTAAAAATCGGTGCAATATTGAATTTAGACTGAGACAGGATGCTTTACCCAAGTACATTCCAACAGGACAGTTTACTAACAGCGGGGCGCACTCTGTGAAAGAGAAGTGGCAAAAATGAAATTAGATACGCCACTTGTGCAATTTCTTTTTTTCAGAGCAATGATTCACCTGGTTCCGTTGGTCATGAGGTTATCTAGCAGTGGAAGTTTTTGAGCTTACTCAAAGCAGGGAGAAACTCAGAGCAGCAGCAAGATGAACCACATTTCCAGTTATTCTTATCCCAAGTTATTTTTTGCACTCTTCTGCAAGAGTTTCAGAAAGACAGAGGTCTTTGCTTTATGTTATAAGCAATGGACTTAAAACGTACCTATTTTATCTTTTTCCACTTGCAAAATGCAAACAGTACTACATTTTTTTGCAGTGCCTACCTTTCGAATTTCTGGGCTGGAGCTGAGAGGAAGCACAGTAGCCATGAGAGGAACCAACTTGTGATTAATTTTGTAGATATAATAATGGATTTAGTTAGGTTTCTGCTTGCATTTCGCCCTTGGCACTCTGTGTGAGCTTTCTAAGCTATGTCGATTTCTATTGACTCCAAAGCTCATATTTCTCACGTGATTGTTGCAGCCCCAATTCATGGCTACCAAAAATATTACCTGTCATTAAATGCAAGAGTAATTATGAGAAAAAGCAGGGCCCCTTGGCCGCAGGGGTGTGCTGCCCTCCCTTGGCAATGTCCAAATGCAGGTTCAGCATGGATGGGACATTTATCAGGTTTTCTGACAAAGGAGTTAGTGGGAAATCTGAAAGCTCCACCATCGCTACAGTTACTCATACAGTTCAAACTGTAGCCTACTTTTACATGTCTATGTATTAACCGCGAGATAATGCAATCTGGCATATGCTACGCATGAAAAGGTCTAATATGTACTTGTATACAACCCACCAACTGAACCAGTTAGCCTGGTATCTGTTCAGCATGCGCTAATCTGTGGGTTTAAGGGTGATGGTGAGGAAAACTTGATACCACATTTGCACTATATCCTACTTTTTGTAGGATGAGGAAAAAATGTTTTGGTGTCCCCCGTCCGTCCCCCCCCTTCCCTGTATCTCTCTCTCTCTTGCTTAGGTTAAAAAAACCCAACACATTTCCTCCTGCTGCCTCTGTCTCTTCTCCCACTGGCCTGGGTCTGTCAGTTCTGTAATTAAAATAATAATAAATGCAGCTATTTCTTTTTTAGTCCAGGTATTTGGGAGGTAGCCAGACTCATACTTCTGCGGGAGTAATGCTTCATATAACTTGGCAAGAACAGACCTTTGTGGATCTCTCTGCAGTTTGTATAGAAATAACTTCACCCACATAATGGCTGATTAATTAGACTTGAGGCAGTGCAGATGAGTTGCAAAGTAAGGAGAGGAGAAACCCATGACTTCCAGCGTAGAGCCACGCTGAGAACAACACCAAACCTTCCAGACCTCACTGCTGCTAATCCAGTCTTTGGGCTGATCAAAATCTTTCTATTGTCCTTAATTAAATGTGAAACAATTCCAACATAAGACAGCAGCAAAAGCAGAAACTGGATTTTGGTGATGATATTAATTTGATGTAAAAAATATTAATGCTATTTGTAACACAGCATTCGACCTTGAACAAACACTGCTGAGGTAGAATCACATATAGTGAATTCAACCACCAAAATTCTGCTTTTTTATCTGAAAATTCATAAGGGGCAGAGGTTAGGTGTTAGGTTATATATGCTTAGTTATCACTGCACGCCTTGCAAAGTCTGTGCTTGTCATTTAGACTGTGAAATGCACTCTGCGCCTAATATAGCATAAAGAAACTCCAGGCACAAGCTTTATTACCCCAGGAATAAATAACTGGAAAAACAGGATCGGACTGCATGTTTTACATTTTCCACATGATGAAAAGTACTCAGGCCAAGAGAGTACACTAGAAGTGAACACTGACACTTCTCAAAAGCTAGAGGAAAACTGAAAGGGAAAAAAAAGAGAGAGAAAGAATAAGAAAGGAATGAGATAACAGAAAAAAAGAAACTGCTACAACAGTAAAATACAAAGAAAGGCAACTTACATGAAAAGCATATAAAATATGGAAGATGAAAAGCATATGAAGATGAAATGAAACTGAAAAAAACCCAAGTAATCCCTTTTTAGAAAGCTTTGCGCTCATTTCTACACAATAGAAGACATCAGGGGTCCTTTCCTAACTCTCAGACCAAATCCTTCCCCAAGAACCACGCGACACACGCCACGGATGCTGGGCAGCCAAGCAGAAGTGAAGTTTGTGGATTGATTCACAAATGGGGGGTTACGGTGGCTCCGCCAGCATCCCAGAATACCCTGATAATTAGGATGTAAGTGACTGGGGTCCCTGAGACCAAAACTGACCCAGTGCTTCTGGCCTCAGCAGCATTTGCTTGTTACTTCTGTTTAGCCGTGTCTCCTCACGCAGGGGGGATCTGGGTTAGAGAACAGACGGTTCTCTACAAAATTATAAAATTTCCAGTTTCCCTTTCAATATGTGAGGAATGGTATATTAGGCTTACTAAAAATGTCAAGTCTACAGTATAGTCTGAAGCAGTCATTTAATTTAAAGAAATCCTAGACCAGTAGAAGCTAGAACAATAGAAAATAAGAGTAGAAAAGCAAGACATGAAAATCTCTTTTAAATACAAATAAATCACAGTTAATATATCTGCTAGAAGCACGGTCACATAGAAGTGGAAATGGAGGGCAGGTGAGAAAGGAGACGGTCTGAAAATCCTCCAAAGAAACTAGAAAATCAGCCTTTCCAGCCTGTGGTCTCATAGGCACCTCACCGAAATCAGCAGGTGCCACGGTAATGTATACATGAATATACAGCAATAATTAACAGCAAATACAATCACGAGCAATGCGAAGAAGCACGTTATGTATCTCAAGTGATTAACCTGAATTATCTGTTAATTCCTTCCAACTTCACAAAATAGCCAGACCTATTAAGATGAAAGGAGATAAACCAGCTACGTGACCCCCGTGATCTCCCCTTCTCTCCGGTTGCAGGCACAAATCCTGCGGCAGACGGGAACAGACCTGACTGCCCTGGCACAGCGCTCCTCCGTGCAACTTGTACGCATCCCGCTCGGAGCACGCGAAGCCCCGGGGACCTAATCCAAGGCCATCTCACTTTCCGTTGAAGGACAACTCGCAGAACCCAGTGCCAGATCCCGAGTAGTATCCTGTAACCGTGGTGGTATTCTATAACCATTAATTCCTTAGTTGTACCTGGGTGCTGGCACAAAACAAGAATTTGCCACAGAGTCCTGAATTTTTTGTATGATTTCTCTTGGGTATTGTTTTCTTTTCAGCCACTTTCCCTGCTGAAACACTGTTCTCTCAAAGTTTTTATTTAGCACTTTTACATATGCCTTTCCTGCTATTTTTTGGCTAGTGAGGGGTCTATCTCACACTTACATCATTAAAAGATTCATAATTCTCATCAGCCAAAGGGCTGGAATAAAATACAGCTTCTTCAAGTCCTGTCAGTGAAACTCCCATTTGTAGTTTGGTTCCAGTCAGTAGCGCTATATGTGGCACAGAAGTGGCACTGTATCTCTGATTCTGACGCTTCTCAGATTTCCCTTCTTTCACACAGAAAAGGATTAAAAGTACCCCCACTTTCTATGTCAATTCCTGAAGTTTGTCCCTGACACGCAGTAAAGGCATGCAAGACAGACTGGCCCAAAAGACTTACAAACCCACTCAGAATACTTTTAGGTGAGCATTTTAAGCAGAAACATTCAAATTTTTAAAAAGTTAACAGAAGACAAACCATTTCTGGAAGTCTGTTTACATAATTAACTGTATATAAATACAGATTAATCAAGATGGTTTGGCACATTCCAGTTTATCCAAGTTAAGTAACCACGGCGTACTGCAAATGCTAACCCTAATTTATTTAAATATGATTTAAAATGCTAACCAGAGGTTTAGAATTCAGTTCGGTTAACTGAAGCACTCACTTCGTTTCACCACCAAACTCTGACTATTTAAACTGACAAGGCTATTTTGGTTACTGTTTTGTGAGACAGGGAGAGGGCACTTGCTGCAAGCACTTGGTGATCTTTAACTGCCGCATTAACACTTCAAACTACAGTTAGCAGGGAGAAGGGGCCAAAACCACCCCAAGAGCACAGACTGGAGAATTATAATCAGCTCCTGAAAATAACAGAATATGGAAAAAATATCCATTCCCCGTGGTCAGTCCCTTTGAAGGATTTTTCACATTTATCTTTGTCGCAGTTAAGTGGCCTGAGAGGTTTAATGTGTTAGAAGAAAAAAGATGTTTCTGAGCCATCACAGTATATTTTATTGGCTATTCCACCCCATAGCCCAATCCCAAGATTCTTGTCCTTCCCATACTTTATTCCCTACATCTATAACTTCATTTCCATCCCCCCTATCTCTTGCCTTCTTTAGCCTCGTTTCTGCAGCTGATTTGTAAACCCTTCAACTTTCACGAATTTGTTGGCATCTGTCCCTGCACAGCAGAGTCACAGGGATTTTCCCGTCCTGATCAGGCTGTAATCTTTTGGGAGCAGGAGCCAGAGTTATTTTGGCTGTAAAATGTCTAATATGCTTCGGTTGCTAGGTAAACAGTAAACTGTACACGCGATGCTTGGGTGAGCCATTCAGAACACAAGTATAGTTATCTGGGTAGTCGCTTCTTCACCGATCACACGGTAATGACTGTGCCACTCAGGAGATAAGACTTTCACTCTCTCACTTTGCTGCTCAGGTGAAATCAAGAGAATTTGACCTTTATGTTTTATATTGTCCTCTGAAACCGTTAACACCTCACGTGGACACGTTGGCAAGTTTGCTATGTAAGCCCAACACCTAGTGCAGCTGCCTTTCGCAGAATCCCAGACTCCCAGACTGGTGGGAGTGGGAAGGTCCCTCTGGAGCTCCCCCATCCCACCCCCCGCCAGAGCAGGGGCACCTCCAGCAGTGGCACAGGACGGCGTCCAGGCGGGGTTGGGATGGCTCCAGAGGGGGAGACTCCCCCCCCTCTCTGGGCAGCCTCTGCCACTGCTCTGCCGCCCTCACGGGAGAGAAGGGCCTCCTCAGGTTGAGGTGGACCTGCCCATGGTCACCTTTGTGCCCGTTCCCTCTTCTCCTGTCACTGGGCACCGCTGAAGACAGACTGTTCCCATCCCCCGGCACCTCCCTTTAAGGACTGATAAGCACGAATAAGAGCCCCCCTCAGTCTTCTTTTCTCCAGACTACAAAGCCCCAAGTCCCTCAGCCTCTCCTCATAAGAAAGACGCTCAGTCCCCTTTGCTCTACCTGTGTACAACACGCACTGGGCTGTGAGTGGAAGCAAGTGACATACACAGCAAACCACAGAATTACGGAATGGTTTGGGTCGGAAGGGACCTGAAAGATCTAGTTCCACCCTCCCCCGCCCTGGGCAGGGACACCTCCCACCAAACCGGGCTGCTCCAAGCCCC